CAGCAGGGACTCAATGGATTGCAACAGCTATAACCTGGGTACAAATACTTCCTTCTGGGAAAATATTTGAGAGGGTCATGAGTAAGACTGGTTATCTGGATCTGTGCCAGTCTGGTTCCAGGCCTAGATTTGGGACCAAATCAGCCTTGTTTACTCTGATGGATGACCTTCATGGTGAGAATGACAAGGGGAGTGCAACCCTGCTCCTTCTTGACCTCTCAGTACCATTGACCGTGGTAACCTTTTGGGCTGACTTTGCAGGATGGGTGGTGGTGGTGGTGTGTTGTGGTTGCTCCATTCCTACCTGCACATTTGTGTCCAGAGAGAATAGGACGGCTCTTGTTTAGACAGGCATTCCTAATATGAGTTTCCCCCCACCAACCAATAGCTACTGGTGCTTTATTGAATTTTTTTTTCTGATTTCATTATATTCTATATGTCATATGTCTTTTTTAGGTGACACAGTTCCTCTCTTTGCCACCCTGCCAAATACTTCATGTGTGTCACTGAATTCAAGCTGAAGTTCAAGGTTAAAATGCTAACCCAGATTCAAAGATCCACCCACCTCATAGAACTCTCTCAACCTTTTCCATAAAATTCTAATGTCCAGGGAAATGTTTACATAGCCATTAATGAGCTTTCAACAAAGTTCTCTTTCTGGCATTTTATTACCCTTGTTACATAGGCCAAGACACAGGGCAGGCTTGGCAGAATATGTAACTACAGTGCAGTTGTCTTTCACTAGATCAGGCCTGCTTAACTTGTGAGCCACAAAGCTGGTGGACCATGAGGGCCTCAGGTAAGCTTCCTGTCTTGCAGACTGGCTTGCACATACAAAAATTGTGTGTGCGCATGTGCATTGTTTCTGGAGTTTTTAGCCCTCTGTCATACAATCCCTGTAAACCTACTTGGTAAATAGGTGTATAAATAGCAGTAGGGGCACAATGCCCCAGCAAAATGTTTTTAAGGTCAGACTCTCATCTGATCCATATTTAACATTATTTATCACCCAGAAGCCCTACCCCCTGTCCATTTGGTTACCCGCTTTGTGTGTCCGCAGAGATAGTTGTATTCTGTGTTATAAATCAAGCACTGTTAGGAGTTGTTTCTTTTTGTTTCCCAATGCATTTCTTATCAATAAAAAATCTGATGTAGTGTGAGCAAATTTTTGTTCTGAAAGTGTGGCTCAGAGAAAAAAGTTTGAGAACCATTGCCTTTTTCATTTAACTTTGAATCTCATTAGTTTACCTTCAGCCACTGTCCCTTTCTTGACATGCTTCTAATCTAAGCAGATGAAAGCTAGGGGAACAAATAAATTAAAAGGAGTGAAATACACATTCCAAAGCTAGACGGTAGTTTCATGAAAAACCTAGGAATATTATTAAAATGTTGCAATTTTCTTTAAAAAATATTTTATTACCAGACTATTTGGTTCTGCAGCTGGGATGAATAATGCAGTGCTAGCAAACTTTGGTCCAGTTTTATGGAGGTGTATGTATGATGGAAGAGACATCACCTTGCCAACAAAGGTCCGTATAGTTAAAGCCATGTTTTCCCAGTAGTGATGTATGGAAGTGAGAGCTGGACCATAAAGAAGGCTGATCGCCGAAGAATTGATGCTTTTGAATTATGGTGCTGGAGGAGACTCTTGAGAGTCCCATGGACTGCAAGAAGATCAAACCTCTCCATTCTTAAGGAAATCAGCCCTGAGTGCTCACTGGAAGTACAGATCGTGAAGCTGAGTGTGCTGGTCCCGGGGGTAAGGTACCTTGGGTGTAGCAGAGTCCACACGAAGAGGGGCAAGGTCCGAGGCAGAGAGCCGGGCGGGGAACAGGAATGCTGGAACAGGAGGCTGTGCAGGGAACAGGAACACCGGATGGTCGGGAACAGGAGGCCGAGCAGGGAACAGGAGTACCGGATAGTCAGGAACAGGAAGCCGAGCAGGGAACAGGAGTACCGGATAGTCAGGAACAGGAAGCCGAGCAGGGAACAGGAGCACAGGAAGGTCCGAAGCCAACAACGACGTTGCTCCCGCAACCTGGGGCCGGGCTGACTGGGCTTTTATCCTCTTCTAAGGCCAGGGGCGGTCCCGGTCCCCAGGAGCCCCGCCTCCTCTGGCCTTAAGGCGAGCACTCCTCCTGGGGGCAACCAGTTCCCTTCGCCTCTCTGCCCTAAGCCTCTGCAGATCAGGAGAGGCCGAAGGGTTACTGGGCCCTGGAGGAGGCTCACCTGTGGCCACTGAGTCATCAAGCCCCTCTGGGGCCAGAAGGGCTTCACCTGGGGCCAGCTCCTGATGCACTGCCACAGGTGCAGGCTCTTCAGCATCTAGGCCTTGCCCCAGTTCAGCCGGCCCTGGAGGCGGGGACTCCTGTGCAGGCTGGGATTCCTCTGTTTCATCCTCCGAATCGGAATCCCAGGCCATCACACCATCCCCCCTCCCAGGCCCCCCCCTCAACCGAGGGTCCGGACCCGGCTTGCCGGGGTACGTCGCATGGAACTCTCGGAGGCAGGCAGGTGCGTGGACATTGGCCGCTGGTTCCCAGGAACGGTCCTCCGGTCCGTACCCCTTCCAGTCAATGAGATACTGCAGCTTTCCCCTGCGGTATCGGGAGTCCAGGATGCGTTCCACCTCGTACTCAGGCTCTCCCCGAACCAACACTGGCTGCGGTCGGGGACGGTCCGGGTGGAACTCGTCGGGTGGGGCCACCGGACTCAAAAGGGACCTGTGGAAGACCGGGTGAACCTTCAGGGTTGCGGGTAACCGGAGACGGAATGCCACAGGAGAGATTTGGTCTACGATAGGGAACGGGCCGGTGAGCGGGCGTCCAACTTCCGCGAAGGTCGAGAGGGGTGGAGGTGGCGAGTGGAGAGCCAAACCAGGTCACCGACGCGAAGTTCCGGCCCCACCTGGCGGTGGCGGTCGGCCTGGGCTTTGTACGCTTCTTTGGCCTGGTGCAGTTGCTCCACCAAAAGCTGTTGCTGGGACTGGAGCTCTTGAAGCCACTCCGTCACCGCCGGGACCGCGGATGCCGGCAGCACCTCTGGAAACAGCCGTGGATGATAACCATAACTGGCCTGGAACGGGGTCTGCTGGGTGGACGCATTCACCGCGTTGTTATAGGCGAACTCCGCCAATGCCAGGTGGTCGACCCAGTCATCCTGCTGGTAGCTGCAGTAACACCGGAGGTACTGCTCCAGCACCGCGTTCGCCCGTTCCGTCTGGCCATCGGTCTGTGGGTGGTAGGCTGACGAGAGGCAGACCTCTGTCCCGAGGGTCTGGGAAGTGCACGGTCCGTTTGACCCAGTCAATCTGAACGTTGTGGGCTTCCAGCCAGTCCATCCCGAGCACCAGGGGGAAGCGGGGCATAGAGGCAATGTCCAAAGTCCGCAACTCCCGGTGCTGCTGGAGACACAGGACCAAGGGCTGGGTCTCCTGAGTAACGGCACCTGAACGCAGAAGTCGTCCGTCAATCGCTTCCACCTGGACCGGTACTGGCTTGTTCCGAGTGGCACCTGATGATGGGCGGCAAAAGCAGCGTCCATATAGGAGCGGGTTGCCCCTGAATCTACCAAAGCATGGGTGAGGATCCAGGGCCCACCTGGAGGGTATAAACGTACTGAAACCATAAGATGTTGCAAGTCCATTGGTGCGGGCCCATTCTGTACGGTTTGGGACCCCGGTAGCTAGGGCCATCAGCTACTGGGGTTGGCGGTTTCCCTGCGGCTGGCGTTTCTCAGGGCAGGACCGAGCGAAGTGTCCACTTCCGCCACAGTAAAGACAGAGATTTCCCTCCCGACGCCACGCCTTCTCTGTGGGGAAAGGCGTGGCCGCACTGCCCCGAGCTGCATAGGCTCCTCCGTGAAATCAGTTGTGACCGTGGGGCTGCCGGAAAAAGCTGGTGCCGTGAACTGGAGGTGTCGGCGTCCCGGGCCTGACGACGATCCTCCAACCGGTCGTCTATTTGTAGACTCCGTTGAATGAGAGTGTCCAGCGTGGTGGGGCCTTCCAGCGGGGCCAACTGGGCCAGTACCTCCGCCCCCAGCCCTTCGAGATACTGGTCCCGCAGTGCCGAGTCATTCCAGGTCAAGTCCTGTGCCAACAGCCGAAACTCCGTGGTATATGTGGCCACCGTGGACTTGCCCTGTTTCAAACGCCGAATCGCCCGGTTGGCTTGACTCTCTTTCTGGGGGTTGCCGAACGCGGCCTCCAAACGATTGCAAAACCCCGTATAGTCTGCCAGCAAGGGGAGTCTTGCCTGAGTAACGGCAACGCCCACTTGGCCGCCTGGTCCTTTAACAAACTAATCAAAAAGTGCACCTTGGTGCGGTCGTCAGGAAAGTTCCGGGCTCGCCCCTGAATATACAGCTTGGCCTGGGCCAGGAACATGGGAAAGCTGGCCGGGGCTCCATCAAATTTCTCAGGCAAAGCCACTGGGTACTTGCCCGGAGCCGGGCGTCGGCCCCAGGAGCCGGTAGGGCTTCCAAGCGTTGCTGAAGTGCCACAACCGCGTCGCTGAGCTGCTGCACGGTGTGATTCAAGGCCTGGTTCTCCTGGGCCAAAGCCACCAGTGCAGCCGCCTGTTCAGCCATGGCCTCTGGCTCTTCCCGAACGCACCCCTACGAAGGGGAAGTGCGGGTGTGGCGGGAGCAAACTGTGCTGGTCCCGGGGTAAGGTACCTTGGGTGTAGCAGAGTCCACACGAAGAGGGGCAAGGTCCGAGGCAGAGAGCCGGGCGGGGAACAGGAATGCTGGAACAGGAGGCTGTGCAGGGAACAGGAACACCGGATGGTCGGGAACAGGAGGCCGAGCAGGGAACAGGAGTACCGGATAGTCAGGAACAGGAAGCCGAGCAGGGAACAGGAGTACCGGATAGTCAGGAACAGGAAGCCGAGCAGGGAACAGGAGCACAGGAAGGTCCGAAGCCAACAACGACGTTGCTCCCGCAACCTGGGGCCGGGCTGACTGGGCTTTTATCCTCTTCTAAGGCCAGGGGCGGTCCCGGTCCCCAGGAGCCCCGCCTCCTCTGGCCTTAAGGCGAGCACTCCTCCTGGGGGCAACCAGTTCCCTTCGCCTCTCTGCCCTAAGCCTCTGCAGATCAGGAGAGGCCGAAGGGTTACTGGGCCCTGGAGGAGGCTCACCTGTGGCCACTGAGTCATCAAGCCCCTCTGGGGCCAGAAGGGCTTCACCTGGGGCCAGCTCCTGATGCACTGCCACAGGTGCAGGCTCTTCAGCATCTAGGCCTTGCCCCAGTTCAGCCGGCCCTGGAGGCGGGGACTCCTGTGCAGGCTGGGATTCCTCTGTTTCATCCTCCGAATCGGAATCCCAGGCCATCACACTGAGGCTCCAATACTTTGGCCACCTCATGAGAAGAGAAGACTCCCTGGAAAAGACCCTGATGTTGGGAAAGATGGAGGGCACAAGGAGAAGGGGACGGCAGAGGACAAGATGGTTGGATACTGTTCTCGAAGCTACCAGCATGAGTCTGACCAAACTGCGGGAGGCAGTGGAAGACAGAAGTGCCTGGCGTGCTCTGGTCCATGGGGTCACGAAGAGTCGGACACGACTAAACAACTAAACAACAACAACATGTATGATGGAAGGGGGACTAGAAGCACTTGTTCTAGTATGTTTCCGAGCACAATTCAAAGTGTTGGTGCTGACCTTTAAAGCCCTAAACGGCCATGGCCCAGTATACCTAAAGGAGCGTCTCCACCCCCATCGTTCAGCTCGGACACTGAGGTCCAGCTTCGAGGGCCTTCTGGCAGTTCCCTCATTGCGAGAAGTGAGGTTACAGGGAACCAGACAGAGGGCCTTCTCGGTAGTGGTGCCTGCCCTGTGGAACGCCCTCCCATCAGATGTCAAGGAAATAAACAACTATCTGACTTTTAGAAGGCATATGAAAGCAGCCCTGTTTAGGGAAGTTTTTAATGTTTGAAATTTTATTCTGTTTTTAATGTTCTGTTGAAAACCACACAGAGTGGCCAGATGGGCAGGGTAGAAATAAATTATTATTACTATTATTATTATTGTTGTTGTTGTTGTTGTTCCATGTTCAACAAGTGTCAGGATCTGCCACAACTGGATTCTCCTGGTCTCGCTGGATTCTCCTGCTCACTGGCCCCCCTTACAGTGAACCATTCATTGGCCAAATTATAGGGAATGGAAGAAAAAGGATGAGTTGCTTTCTTAGACTCTAGAATGACTGGGAGATCTACCCTGGTGTTCCATCCTAATCCTTGTCCCATTCCTGGTGCGCTTCCTAGGCAGTTGAAGATAGGACAGGCACACAGTGCAGTAAGGAACAACTTGGTAAACAGTCGTCTGAATTTACCCTTTGCCTAACCCAGGGGTGGGGATGCTCAGGCCCAGGGGGCAAATGCAGTCCTTGAACTCTTGATAATGCCTCTTTCTTGCTTGGATGGATGGAGGACAGAGCGGAATGTGTGTAGAAACTAGCCTGCCATTCCACCCACTTTTGTCTCTGGCCATGACATGTGGCCCTCAAGCTCAGAAGGCGTCCTCATCCCTGGTCTAATAACTCATCTTCTCAACTGGGGTAAAGAAGTGCCCTGCCCACAGGTCAATGTCACTGTATTGGGTAGCTGGTGACAGGAGTTTGCTACAGACCTCAAGGGTAAATGTTATCTTAGCTCCAATTTTCATTCCAGGGATTTCATCTCCATGCCTTCCAGATGCCAACTGGGGACACACGCAGGGTAACATTTTATTTATGGTCTATATTTAGAACTACTGTCCTGTTTAAAGCTTTCAGTGGTAATTCCTCATTAAATCCCATTTAGTTACTGCTGGAGATGGCTTGCTGGTGTTGAGAACTCATGCAGAGGCCAAATTAATGATGACAACTTTTAATGGTTGTGTAAGTTCTTCTACCCTACTCCTTTACTGAGAACAGAAGCTGCCTTATACCAGGTCAGTCTGTTTGCCTATTTGGCCCAGTATGGCTTGCTGTGACTGGCAGCAGCTCTCCCGAGCCTCAGACAGAGAGAGGTCTTCCCTATCACTTGATCCCTGCTCCTTTTGACTGGAGATTTCTAGGATGACAGAGGCCATGCTTCCACCAATGAGCTACCATCCCTCTCACAGTGTGAATCGGGGGTAGTCCAGACCCTTTTGTTAACATGAACTGTGCTGGGAAAAAGAGCAACTGGTGAATATTATTGGAATTGTGTGTTCTATGGCCTACTGAATTATAGTGTGAAGTTTTGTTGTTGTTTTTTAAAGATGTACATCTGGTTTCAGAGACTAAGTAGAATATCCTCTGAGTACTTGAAGGGGTGGGGGAGGTTAGAGATTGGGCAGCCCTCCACCATCCCAGTATTGGTCAAAACTTGCCCCTGTAGTCTTCTCAAAATATGTACTGCTCATAATGAAGGAACTGTCACAAATAGTAAGAAGGTCAGAATCCCTTTGCTGCCCCACCACTTTTTTTTATCAAGGGCACGTCTAAAGCAAGGCTAAGGGATGGAGGGTAATCTCAGACAAGACTCTAAGTCCATGAATTATGTCATCTGAACCCAGGTTTCTCCCAGCACGCCAGAATTCAGTCTGTCCCTTTCACTGTTCTGGATTTGTAGAAGGGAAAGGAAAGTGCCATTGCTTCTCCCTGAGGAAGTCCAAAGGTGGGAGTCCAGCGAGGCTGCCTCCCTTCCTTCACATTTCACAGCACTCTCCTCCCTCCAACTGTTCACATCTTCAGTTTGTTTTATCTTAGCCACACACCAGGGGGCATTGATGAGGCAGGGATGCCTTTACCCTATGCAAAAGTATTCATACCCTGGCTAGAGACAAATTTGGGAGAGCTTAAAGACTGCAAACGGTGTGAAGCTGGTTAGAGAAAATGACACACCCAACAGTAGTATTTTATAATGAAGTACAGGAGACATGTGCTTTTGGGATCATGTTGTTGTGTGAACACAGATTAAACGCTCAGCCCTGGAAATGCAGCGAATGCACAGTGAATGGGAGTGTGAACACAGCGTTAGAGAAGGAAACCTCAGGAGGGGAAACTGCTCTTGTACTCATCTCCATCTTGCTGGTTTCCCACAGCCATCTGGTTTGCCACTGTGCGAACAGGATGCTGGACCAGATGGGCCAGCAGGTTCTTCTTAGGACAGTAGAATGAAGACTAACATGGTTTCTATTGCTCTTGTGGTTTTCAGCTAAACAGCGACAGCTAAAGCCTTGCTTACAATAGAAATAGAAATATGCATTGAATAGTTTCAGTTCCAGAGCAGGGAACAACGAAATACGGTAATAAAAACATAGAGAAAAAAAGATAATATGCAAAAAAGCACAGAATAATAAAAACAGGTCCAATAAATAAGAAATCAAAAGTTCCACAATAAAGTAAGCAGTGCTATACTGCAGTGAGAACAATTATAACTTCTAGTTTAACCAAATACCTGAGTAAGGCATGCAAGCAACTGAAACAATTAAGGGGCTGTAGCAGAACTTTTTACCCCATCTCTCACCTGGAGTAATGCATTCATCCCCACCCCCCTTCTCTCACACAGAGAGGGCTCCACTCTGCATCAATGCAACCTTACCCAATGGCTTCTGATTACCTTAACACCTTTCAGTCCCACTATTCAACCTATCCAGGCTTCCACCTTGAGTAACACAAACCAATGCTCACAACCACCCATACCACACACACAAAACTGTCCCACCCCAATTTCCCCTAATAACAGAGCCAACCTGAACACACATACACATACCACCCTCATAGAAATAGCTCCCACAGGGGAACGCAGCAGTAGCAGCACTTCTTAAATACTGATCTCTGGGCTGAAAGTCAGTCCATAAGCCACAGCTGGTATTTCTCTCCTCCTTTTCCCAAGACTCACAGGCTTCAAGGTCAGTAGAGTTGCTAGGGATGGTTAGGCAGGTGCATTTGCGGACCTCTCCCATCTCTGGGCTCCTCGCCAGCTGAGATAAGTCAGGGTCCTCAAGAAAATGCCTGAATCACATTTGCAAAGAAGATTGTTCTCAGTCACTTCATCAAGGATGAGCATTTGTGTCAAGGAGATGGAACAGTAATTAGCTATGCAACTGAATGGATTTAAATGGAAGAAAAGGACTTAATAATCCTCAGTAAATAATCTTGATAGAATAAAATCCTAAAGAGGTTGACAAAAGCGTCAACCCATTGACTGCTAAGAATCTTTTATAGTTAATTAGGATGTCAAACCCCTAATCCTAAATAGAGCAATTGCATCCAAAATAATTGCTTTTAACTATTGCATAATAAAGATGGATGGGCTTAAATTGTTACCAGTTAAGGCTGAAGGTATAAATGCAGAATAACTGCTTGAAATGAGTAAGGAACGTGTTTGTACAACACATATAAAAATATCAGGATCTTATTTTAATAATGATGATGATGATGATGTCACCACAAATAACAGAACTGTGAGACTTCTGTTTGCTATCAGGGATAACATAGAATCAAATCTGAAAATCTTCTATGAGTTCCATGTGGCAGATATCCTTTTAATATCTTTATAATATTTAAATAAGTTAGAATTTATTAATGTGGGTAGTCAAAGACCAGAATACAATTTAAATAATTTAATAGAAATAATGAACAAATCCATAACTGGGGAATATGTAACTAGAGATTAATCACTGAACAGACAAAAGAGATGAGCAATTTGTAAGATGGTCCGTATGATAAAGATTAAAGAAATAAAATCCTTTTAAATGAAGGTAATTCAATCATAAATTTAAATTTTATAATAATGTTAATAAAGACTTCATTTTTAAGAACATCCATCCACCATCAGAATGGACACTATGGTCAGAATGGATCTTCTATCTGCGCACCTTCAAAGTTTATTATGGAGCCTTCCTTGAGCAGGGAGCTACAGGGGGAACAAAAATAAAATAATTTACTTCCTATTGCCTAGTGTACACAAAATTTACTTCCTATTGCCTGGTCCCCACAAATTCACCACACTGTTTATAGGTTTTGCACACCCCCTTTATGATTTAGAGGGTGGGGTGGGAACAGTGGGAAAGCCTTGCCCCACTTAATATGGCACTGATCATTCTTTCTGGAGGCATCATTTTATATATTTTAATCGCATGATGCCAGGGTGAGGGGCTAAATGAGGGAGATGTTTCTTCCTTGCCTGTGACTTGGCTTTGCGAGGCCACTACATTGCCAATGAAATTTAGCTGATTATAAGGTCCGAAGCAAAATCCAACTAAGGATGTGTCTCTTGCCTTTACTGGTGTTAATGTGGTTCAAAAACAGAAGCTTTAAAAATGGCAGCGGTGGGGAACATGATCACTGCCCCACCACCACAACCATA